TGGGAGGAGGGGCAGGGGGTGTCGAGGCTGCTGGCATTTAATGCGTAAGAGTCGGCCACATCAAATGTCCCACACCACGAATAATTCTCCCTCTCACCATGCCAGTGGGTTCCTGTCAATTTTGAGAGCCCTGGCCTGTGTGGTGAGCCACTCCCTGGCCCGCACTCCACCCCAGCTGTCCTCTTCCTGTCGGGGAGGATCTCGGGTTTTGCTGTGACCTGCTGCCACCTGGTAGAGTTGCTGGGCTGGCATGCGCATGGATGTGTTGGTACTTGCACACGTCAGGTTGTGTTCCCTTGCCGTCAGGGCTCCAGCCCCAACATTCATTAATCCCAGGAGGCGAGGAGCCTGGGGCCTGGCTCTGGTCCCAGCAGGCAGCTTGAAGGCCAGGGAGCTGCCACCGACCCCTTTCCCATTCTGTTTCTGCCCCATGTGCTGCACCAGGTACCTCCTCTTCATGAAGTTGGCTGCCCTGCAGCTGATGCAGCAGAAAGCCAGCAAGATGGAGAACTCCACCTCATTGGAAAACGGCAGCCCACCCTCCCTGGAGTCCAAGTCTGAAGACCCTCTGGGACCCGAGGGAAGTGAGGAGGAGGGAGGCAATGCTAGTGGCCTGGCTAAGGTGAAGGAGCTGGCAGAGACCATCGCCTCGGACGACGGGACAGGTGGGCTGCTGTGGGTGCTGGGGGAGCCCCAGACCTGTCCTGGCAGCGGGGGCTTCACGGGCAGCTCCAGACCCAGTCCCAAGAGAGGCAGGCATTCATCTCTTCGGGGAGCGGGGGGGTCTTGTGAGCCTGACAGAGTGGGTAGGGACAGCTGGCCACGATGTGGATGGGCTGCCTCCCAGCGGGCCATGTCTCCACAGCAGACCCACGGAGCCGGGAGGTGATCCGCAATGCGTGCAAGGCAGTCGGCTCCATCAGCAGCACGGCCTTCGACGTCCGCTTCAACCCGGACATCTTCTCACCAGGCAGGTGGTGGAGCGGGGTGGCCAGAATCTGGGGTCACCTTGGGGCCTTGATGCTGGTGGGCCCTTCCCCGACCTGAGCGATGGCATTTGCCTGCTGCCCCCACCTCCCTTCACCCGGCTCAAGCCCGTGCTCCCCCTCCCGCAGGGGTCCGCTTCCCCGAGTCCTGCCAGGAGGAAGTGCGAGACCAGAAACAGCTGCTCAAAGACGCTGCTGCCTTCCTGCTCTCCTGCCAGATCCCCGGCTTGGTGAGGGACTGGCCGCAGGGGCGGGGGCTGCGGGCGGGGCTGGTACAGATTTTGGAGGCTGGTGGGACCTTCACAGGAGTGACTTCTTTAGACCTGCTGACTTGAGAGGCAGGCGGGGCAAAGTGCTTGTCCCTGCCTGACCCAAAGCAGCCAAGGGGGGCCTCAGGCACAGGCTCTGCTCCTCCGTGCCCTCCGTGTGGCCGGCAGCGGGGGTCTGGGCCTCTGAGCCCCTGTGTGACGGATGGCTGACAGGGACGGGGGGCACCGGGGAGAGAAGGTGAGGGGTCCTGCCCTCTTCTCCCTCTCGAGCTTTTCATGTAGGCCCCGTGGGTGCCGGGGATGTTTGCTCCTACAGAGACAGCTCCGTGACCAGGTGGTGCTCTTGTCTCAGACCTTTGAGCTGAGCCTGCTGTGCCAGCTACCCTGGTCCCAAGGGGTCACCTCTGCTCCTTCCCTCCTGGTCAGAGAGGAGCCTTTGCTGCCCACAGGGCTCTCAGTTCAGCACCAGCAGGGCTCCCATGTCCCCGCTTCCCCGCCAAGTGGGCCTGGCAGTCACCCATTTTCCTTGGCTTGTGTGAAAGGCTGGGGGGCAGATTCTCACCTCCTTGCTGGTCCTTGCTGCTGCTTTGTCTCCTTCCCTCTCCCCCACTGGGAGCTGGGGTCTTCGTCCCCTGCTTCCCTTTTGGAGGGGCCTCGTGATAGTGTGAGCTCCCCCCGAAGCCCAGGGCTGGAGGAGGCAGGGGCGAGGAGGGGGAGCCTGACATGCTGCAGCCTGCAGGTGAAGGACTGCACAGACCACGTGGTGCTGCCCATGGACGGGGCCACGCTGTCTGAGGTGATGCGCCAGCGAGGCATCAACATGCGCTACCTGGGCAAGGTGCTGGACCTGGTGCTCCGGAGCCCGGCCCGAGACCAGCTGGACCACATCTACGTGAGTGGTGCTCAGGGCGGGAGGTGAGTCGCTGGTGCCCGGCTGGAGGTCTGGCACCAACCTGGACTTTCCTCTCGGAACCTTTGTAGAAAATTGGCATTGGCGAGCTCATCACCCGTTCTGCCAAGCACATTTTCAAGACGTACTTACAGGTATGCCACTTCCTTCCCAGCCGGGTAGGGTGGGGTCTTGAGGAAGAGCCCTGGGTTGGGGCCCAAGGGCCCTCGTGACTTTGGTCCAAACTTGCAGGGAGTCGAACTCTCAGGCCTGTCAGCTGCCATCAGTCACTTCTTGAACTGCTTCCTGAGCTCCTACCCCAACCCTGTGGCCCATCTGCCCGCCGATGAGCTGGTCTCCAAGAAGAGGAACAGGAGGAGGAGAAACCGGCCTCCAGGGGCGGCAGACAACACCGCCTGGGCCGTCATGACCCCCCAGGAGCTCTGGAAGAACATCTGCCAGGAGGCCAAGAACTACTTTGACTTCACCCTCGAGTGGTGCGTGAGTGGCAGGGGGTGCAGGCACTGGGACCCCTGACAGCCCAAGGGCAGACAGGAGTGGAGGAGGAGGGAGCTGTTCGGGGAACGGGCTGAGAGCTGAGTCCTGGAGAGCAAAGGCGGCGGCTCAGGGGGAGTGGCAGCTGTTGAGAAGGGGCAGAGTTGGGAGCCGTCTGCCACTTCTCCCCCAGTGAGTCCGTGGACCAGGCTGTGGAGACCTACGGGCTGCAGAAGATAACACTGCTGCGGGAGATCTCCCTCAAAACCGGCATCCAGGTAGGCGCGGGGCCGTGTCCCTCCGTGCACCGGCTCCGCAAGGTCCCCGGGCCCGTGGGGGGGGCTCTCCCCACATGTGCTGCGGGTGGGAGGTGCTGGCCATGTGACCCCGGGCTGAGGCTGCTGTGGGTGTTGGCTGTGCCCCCAGATCCTGCTGAAGGAGTACAGCTTCGACAGCCGCCACAAGCCTGCCTTCACCGAGGAGGATGTGCTCAACATCTTCCCCGTGGTCAAGCACGTCAACCCCAAGGCCTCGGATGCCTTCCACTTCTTCCAGAGCGGACAGGCCAAAGTACAGCAGGGTGCGTGGCCAGGTGTGGCCGGCGGGAGGGGCTTTCCTGGCTCGGCCCTGACCTCGCTCCCCTCCGTGCCCTGCAGGCTTCCTGAAGGAGGGCTGCGAGCTCATCAATGAGGCCCTGAATCTGTTCAACAACGTGTACGGAGCCATGCACGTGGAGATCTGCGCCTGCTTGCGCCTCCTCGCCCGGCTCCACTACATTATGGGCGACTACGCCGAGGTGGGCCTTGAGCACCCGCTGGGCTGTGGGGCTGGCATTGGGGGCTGGCAAGTGAGGGAGCCAGGCCTGTGTTCTCAGCCCCCAGAGCAGCAGGAACTGGAGGCCCTACTTACGTGGTAGGGGCAGGGGCACAGGGAGGAGCAGGCCGAGACCAGGGGGACCCCGGGGTCACGTGCTCTGCCTGGGCTTCCTTCCCCCATCTCCACCACTGGATAGTTACATCCTTGGGGAGCTGCCATGAAAGTGGGGTGAAGGCCGGGCCTCCCTTCACAGGGACGATGGGAAGGATGAGTTCTGGGACTCACCAAGACTGTGTAAGCGCTCCGTGGAGCTGCTGGCAGTGTCCTGTCGTCTTCCACCTGCATGTGGCCTGGTGGAGGTCACCGGCCTGGTCGGCCCAGGGCTTTAGGAGGCCGCCTCCTGGGCGGGCAGGCGTCGGCGCCCCACTGCCCTGCTATCAGAGGCTTTTGTCTATGTAGGTTTTGTTGTTGTTAATCCTCATCTGAGGCTATTTTTCCATTGATTTGTAGAAAGAGTGGAAGGGAGGGGGAGAGAGAGAAACATGGAAGTGAGAGAGAGGACACATCAGTTGGTTGCTTCCCATCAAACCCAGGCACATGCCCTTGACTGGAATCAAATCTAGGACCCTTCAGCCTGTGGGCCGATGCTCTGTCCAGTGAGCCAGACTGGCTAGGGCAGTGATGGTGAACCTATGACACACGTGTCAGAGGTGACATGCGAACTCATTTTTTTGGTTGATTTTTCTTTGTTAAATGGCATTTAAATATATAAAATAAATATCAAAAATATAAGTCTTTGTTTTACTATGGTTGCAAATATCAAAAAATTTCTATATGTGACATGGCACCAGAGTTAAGTTAGGGTTTTTCAAAATGCTGACACGCCGAGCTCAAAAGGTTCGCCATCACTGGGCTAGGGCTATGTATGGGCTTTTAAAAATTATTACTGATACTTTAGCACAACTTTAGATTTATATATATGTATTTACATAGGTTTTGTTAGGAGAAAAAAGGGCTTAAGACAGGTTTTATAAAGGTGAAACAGTCTCCGAGTGGGGCGTAGACTTCCATGGTCATAGCAGCTGAGTTTTGACCCCTTCTCTGCTGCCTTTGCCCAAAGTAAACATAGAAAGTGCAGCCAGAGGGGACCACGGCCAAGCGACTGTGGGGCTCAGGGAGCAGGGTCAGGCAGGTGGGTGTGGGACGGGCACCCCCCCGGATGACAGTTCCCCGCTTCTCCAGGCCCTGAGTAACCAACAGAAGGCTGTGCTGATGAGCGAGCGAGTGATGGGCATCGAGCACCCCAACACCATCCAGGAATATGTGAGTGGCCCCTGGGGCAGGGGCTGCACAGCTGGGTGGGGCCCGTGGCCACCCTGGCCTGACACGGCTGCCCCTGCAGATGCACCTGGCCCTGTACTGCTTTGCCAGCAGCCAGCTGTCCACCGCCCTGAGCCTGCTGTACCGTGCCCGCTACCTCACACTGCTCGTGTTTGGAGAAGACCACCCTGAGATGGCACTGCTGGACGTGAGTGCTGAGGAGGGGTGGCGGGACGAGCCTCAGTCCCAGGGGAGCGGGAGCTGACCAGGGCCCTCCGACTGCCCCTAGAACAACATCGGGCTGGTGCTGCATGGGGTGATGGAGTATGACCTCTCGCTGCGCTTCCTGGAGAATGCGCTGGCTGTCAGCACCAAGTACCACGGGCCCAAGTCCCTCAAAGTGGCCCTCAGGTGAGGCTGCCTTGGGTTAGGGCGTGGGGGGCCCAGGGCCATAGGGACAGGGTCCCAGGAAGCACCTGGATTGAGCGCGGGCACGGGACCCAGCGCTGCCTGTCCTCGGTCTGGCCCCTGAGGAAGTTTCCCTCACCTTCTATTCCCCCCGAGTCCTGGGCTTGATTGTTCGCCCCGGGTAGATTCCAGAGCAGGACCTAGATTAGTCTGCACACCCTCGTTAGGCTGCCACTGCCCCGGCCCACTCCTGTCCTTCCTGTGCCCCCCACACCATGCTTCCTGTAGCCACCATCTTGTCGCACGGGTCTATGAGAGCAAAGCCGAGTTCCGGTCAGCCCTGCAGCATGAGAAAGATGGCTACACCATCTATAAGACCCAGGTGGGCCGCAGCAGGGGCCGGTGGGGGGCGGGGGGGCGGCAGGAGCTGTGGGGAGCGGCTGGGCTCTTGGGCAGCCCTGACCCCTGCCTGCCTGTGCCGCTCTTGCCCCCATAGCTGGGCGAGGACCATGAGAAGACCAAGGAGAGCTCTGAGTACCTCAAGTGCCTGACCCAGCAGGCCGTGGCCCTGCAGCGCACCATGAACGAGATCTACCGCAATGGCTCCAGCGCCAACATCCCGCCCCTCAAGGTGTGTCCGGGACAGAGCTGGGGGGCCCCCTCCCCAGCCTCCCGGTGCCCACACAGTGGCTCATCTTCCCTGGCACCCTCAGTTCACAGCCCCCAGCATGGCCAGTGTCTTGGAACAGCTCAATGTTATCAACGGCATCCTCTTCATTCCACTCAGGTGAGGCCCCTCCTCCTGTCCCCACGCCCCTTGGGGAATTGGCCTTTAGTTTCTTGTCTTTTAAAACATAATACACTGACGTGGCTCAACACTGGGAAATACAGCCAGGGGTGAGAAGTTCCTTGTGAATCCTTCTGGAAATATGCCACATAATTGAGCAAACAAACAGCTGTCATTTCCCCCCCTCCCCCTTTTTTTACACAAAACTAGAGTAGCAAACCATGCACATAGGTGTGTTTTCTGCACTTAATGTATCTTGGCGCCCTTTCCAAATCGGTCAAGAGTGGCTTCGTTCTTTCTCTGGCTTCCTGCGATCCCAGTGTAGGTCTGCGCCTCATGACCGGCCCCTCGCTGCTGTCTCCCTCCCACGGGGACGTGGGGTTGGTCAGTCAGTGGTTAGGGAGCGAGTAGTGGACCTTCTGTGTGTGGCACACCCTCCCCACTCGTTTTCTGGGGGTGATCTCCTGTGGCAGCCGCCACAGCTGCAGCAGGTTGGAACTGGGTGTAAAGGAGAGTGGGAGCCAGGCTCTGACAGGTGCATGGAGTTCCTCGCTTTTCAGCACTTCGGGGCCTTTCTGCTCCGGGGAGGGAAGGGAGGCACTTGTTTCATGCCTGTCTCTCTCCGAACAAAGCTCAGAGTCTGATTTTGTCCCAGGTTTAAGTTTAAGCAGAGCCAGTGAGGTGTTGGGGGGCTTGGGCCCGCTCTGACCCCCACCCTCACCCCTATCCTTCTACTCAGCCAAAAAGACCTGGAGAACCTGAAAGCTGAGGTGGCGCGGCGGCACCAGCTCCAGGAAGCCAGCAGAAACAGGGACAAGGCTGAAGAGCCCATGGCCACCGAGCCTGAGCCCGCAGGGGCCCCCGAGGATGCGGCCTCGCAGCCCCAGGCCGCCAAGGACCCTCCTTCCCCCAGCTTACAGGGGTAGAAAGGGAGAGACAGATGGACAGTCAGCTGCCCCATTACCCAGTGATCCAGACTCCAGGAGGAGGGGGCACGCCCTGCAGATCCGGAGAGGAAGCGAGTCCCTATTCTTCCACATTTCCAACCCCAACCCTCCCCCCAGCATCCTCCTGGGACCCTGGCCTGGCCTATCTGCCCCCCGAGAGATGTTTTTGCACTGGTTCAATGAAAATGCTGATGAGAGGCCTAATTGAAGACACTTGAGTGGAGTGTGTGGGCATCGGTTCCCAGCTGGGAGACAGGTGCCCCTCAGGCGCCCCATCCTCGAGCAGGTGTGTGCGAGTGTGTCCATGCCCGTGAGCGAGCGTCTTGATCCGTCCTTCCTAACTTGTACATAGCCCGAGTCAGTTCGGAGTGGGTGACGTGCAGATGCGATTTCTCAGGTCATTTGTATGTTTGACATTACGGCTGCTGCTTCTGCTGCCACTACCCCTGGGCCCAACCTGGCTAAAAGTCCAGGTTTGAAGCCGAAAGAGGGGTGCTTTCCTGTGTACTGGGATGGGGAGTCAGCTCTGTGGCAGGGCTGGAGAGCTGGGGTGCACTTTAGCTCTGTGGCAAGGTGAGAGCTGCAGTGGCTTTACTAGTCATGGTTGGGCCTGGCCTGGCTGTGCTTGGGGAAGGCATGGGGGGGACAGTGGGGTTCCCAGATACCCCTGTGCCCAGGCCCACTGGTCTGCCTCCCTACTCCTCAGCTGGGGATCCCTGGGGGGCTGCAGTCTGAATGTATACTTCTCACCACTTTAACCTGAGCTGCCTAACGCACAGTGGGAGTGGGTAGGGAACGGGCCGAGGGGAACCGGGGCTGAATCATGGATTCTGGGGGTAAGTTACCAGGTACAGGAGTGATTGTCATTTGTTGGTGGAGCCCAGCTCCCTCCCTGGTCCTGGCCACACCAGCACCTTCAACAGAGAGTACCTCTGGGTGTGGAAGATGGGGAGGCACTAAAGGTGGTGGCCCCACAGGCCCGGCTGCTCCCTCTCCCGCCTGCCTGTGCTGCTTCTGTGCCTGCTGTTGGAGCCCTGACTGGGGGAGGTCGCCACCCTTGTGAGCTTGGGGGAGCCGTTCCAGGGGTGGGACCTCTGCCTGGGGGAGCTGCTTATGGGTATGGTCTGTCCAAACACCTTGTTTCAAAGGGAGTGGGCGTGAGCTAGTAATCGAAGCATCCCCACAGCTGATCAAGAACTTTTTCTTGTTTTTAAACCATCACGTCTTCATTTCACATTGGAATAAAGTGAGTTTTTGAAACCTACTGCCCCAGCCCCTCCGGTGTGTTCTGTTCCAGTCTTACTTGATTGTGAGGGTTGTTGTCAGAAATGTTATTAGTGAAAGAGTTTAAAGCACTTGAATGTGTAAAAATTAGGTCAAATTCAAAGTTATCGTAATGTCATTTAAGTGGGAGGAAAGGGGGTGGATCACAGGCACCTGGCTAGGGTTTTCACCTGGATGCCAGTCACTAGACCCGAGAGTGGCACATAGATGAATATCCCGTTGGTCACAGGAGATGAAAGGCTGGGAAGCGCTCCTCCATGGAGTTTCATGTGACACAAGCTGGAGTGAAGGCCAGTTGGACTGAAGGGTGCTTAAGGTGGCCCAGGCCCTGGGCTGGCCTGATAGGTTACTGAGCACGGAACTCGAGGCATCTGTCCTTGTCCCTTTGAGTAGGGAGGGTTGGGTAGCATCCCCAGACCAGGAAAGCTAGGAGCACTCAGGGCTGGCTATAGTGCCACCCTGGCTGCTTGAGGGGCAGGGCTTGAAGTGGAAGTTGTGTTGGGGGTAGAGAGGACCTGTCTGAGAGGAGGGGAAGTCTCATTACGGGTAGTGGCTGCTGTTTGGCCATCCCTTTCTGGAGCAGGCAAGCCCTTGGACTCATGCACTCTTAAATGCCTTTTTTTTTTTTTTTTTTTTTTTTTTTTTTAATTGATTTCAGAGAGGAAGGGAGAAGGAAAGAGAGATAGAAACATCAGTGATGGGACAGAATCATTGGCTGCCTCCTGCACGTCCTACTGGGGAATCAAGCCAGTGGGCATGTGCCCTTGATCGGAATCAAACCTGAGACCCTTCAGTCTGCAGGCTGACATGCTATCCACCGAGCAAACCAGCTAGGGCTTGAAGGACTTTAAATACTTGGAGCGTTCGTTGTGTCTTTGACATTCTAAAAAGAAAACAATTGCAACCCTAATGTCTTAGTTTTCCTAAGCCAACTGGAAAAAGGACATCTCTGCCTTGAGGTTTTTCTTTCAAGTGAAAGATTGCCCTGGGTACCTTGACATATGCTGCCGACACCCCTCCCCATGTCCCCCGCACCCCTTTACAGTCTCATGCCTTCCTGGGACCTTCATCCTGGTCACCTGCTTCACAGCACTTCCAGAAATGCGGCATCATCTTGTGAAGCTGAGAATGGATCAGGCTTAATTCCTACTGTACCTGCTAGTCACCTGAGGAGGCCCATTTTTCATGGTTGATTCCTTAAGCATATTAGTGGTGTCAGATACCTTTTAACAAACTAAATGACAAGGAGCTGTTGTTTTCTCAAGGAAACAAGAGGCTCTGGGTGTGAAATTAACCCTTTCTCCTTTCCCTAGTAAACAGACTTCAGTTTTTTAAAAAAGAGTGAGTGGTGGTATCCACAGGAAGGGTTAGTGAGAGAACTGGCACCTTTTAGATCATGATCTGTGTGGATGGGCAGCTGTTCAAGATTGAAATGAAGTCTCACTAAATGGTGAGCCATACCCACAATGTGTTCTGTCCCCTACGCTGGTCTTTCACTTTCCACTCTAACTTTTCTTCTGTTTTTTTGCTGTTGTTAATCCTCACTGAGGATATTTTTCCATTAATTTTTAGAGAATGGAAGGGAGAGGGAGAGACAGAAACAGTGATGTGAGAGAGACATTGATTGGTTGCCTCCTGCACGCACCCTGACCAGGGTCGGGGAACCTGCAACCAAAGTACAGGACCTTGACCGAATTGAACCCGGGACCCTTCAGTCCACAGGCCTACGCTGTAGCCACTGAATCAAACCAGCTAGGGCTTTTCTTCTGTTTTTGATTTCTTTTAACACATACTACTTTTATAATTTAAAAATATTTTTTAAAGGCTTATAACCAAATTAAACTTTTAAGGTATCATCTGTCTGCACTCCTACCCTCTACCTGTCATTGTTAAATATGAATACTGAGAAAACAAACTTTATTAAGGAATTTTTAAATATCTGAGAATAAGGTATCTGGATGTATTTCCTCATCCCTAACAGAGTCTAAATTAGCAGATCAAATAAAGCATGCATAATCAGGACACCTAGAGAGGGCAGGTGACCCTCTTCAATGGAAAGTGAAATACCTCTATTAAGTAGGTAAACCTATTGATTAAAAAAAAAGAAAAAATCCCAGGTTCGATTCCGGTCAAGGGCATGTACCTCATGTACCTTGGTTGTGGGCACATCCTCAGTAGGTGTGCAGGAGGCAGCAGATCGATGTTTCTCTCTTATTGATGTTTCTACTCTCTATCCCTCTCCTTTCCTCTCTGTAAAAAATCAATAAAATATATTTAAAGAAGAAAAAGAGCCTGGCTGGCGTGGCTCAGTGGTTGAGCATTGACCTATGAACCAGAAGGCCACGGTTTGATTCCTGGTCAGGGTACATACCTGGGTTGGCCTGATCCCCAGTGTGAGGTGTACAGGAGGCAGCCAATCAATGATTCTTATTGATGTTTCTATCTCTCCCTCTCTGAAATCAATAAAAACATATTTTTTAAAACAGAGGAGGGGGGTGGGAATGAGGAGAGAGGTCAATGGGGGGAAAAGGAATCATGTAATACTTTAAACAATAAAGAATTTTTTAAAAAAAGATGCAGACCAATACACAGTTATCCTGAGAACAAAGTCATTTCATGTAAAATGATGGATGAGTCTTCCTAATTGCAAGTGTGGGCAACCTGATTCTTGCTTAAGCATTCCCAGCCTCCACCTCATTTTTTAAAAATGTTATTGATTTTTATAGAGGGAGAGGGATTGATAGAAACATTGATGAATCATTGATCAGCTGCCTCCTGCACTCCTCTCACACTGGGGATTGAGCCAGCAACCCAGGCATGTGCCCCGACTGGGAATCCAACTGTGACCTCCTAGTTCATTGGTAGATGCTCAACAATTGAGTCAGGCCGGGCGGGCTCCATCTCGTTCTTAATGGCTATCCCACAGTGGAGTTAGCAGGGGGGTTGTAATGTGAGCAAGGTGTTCAGGGGTGGGATGAGGGCCTTTCTTGCATCACTAAGTTTAAAAATTGCTTAAAAAATGTCAGAAGGTCCTTCTTACATTTAAAATAGTGAATAAGATTTTTTATACAAGCAGAACCAGATAAGAGAAAGAGCAAGTGTATTTGGGTTCATCCTAACTCACCCTTTAATTAGCTTAATACCCTTGGCATATGACTTAACAACTGAGCCCGTTTTCTAGTTCCTAAAAGTGTGCTAATATCTACCACCAGGAAGTAATGTGAGAATAAAGGTGTATATTGAGAATAAGGTAAGTGTTAGCACCTAACAGGCATTCAAAAGGCAGGTAATTCCCTAAGAGGGCTGGCCCCGGCCAGTGTGGCTCAGTTGTTGAGTGTTGACCTATGAACCAGGAGGTCATGGTTTGATTCCGTCAGGGCACATGCCTGAGTTGTGGACTCGATCCCCAGTGTGGGGTGTGCAGGAGGCAGCCGATCAATGATTCTCATCATTGATATTTCTACCTCCCTCTTCCTCTCAAATCAATCTATATTATAAAAGGCCAGTGGCCGGAACGCCGTAATGCTGGAAGGACCAAATGACCAGTCACCAGTAAGTTGATGGAGCACCTCTCGGTCACTCCCCCGTGGCCCACAGCAAGGGTCCAATTACAGCAAGGCTGGCGGTTGGCAGGCGGGCGGGGCGTGGCGAAGTGGGCATGGGGAGGCGTGCGTGGGTGGGCAGGACTGCGAGTGTGGCAAGGCACTCGGGTGAGTGGGGCCACGCGATTTCGCACGCTGGGCCTCTAGTAAAAATATATTTAATAAAAATAAAAAGAGGGCTGGTGACCAAGTGGGAATGATGACCATACTCAGTATTTACAAAGGAACAAACTCCATGTGTCAAAGTGATGTTGAAAGAGAACTGAGTTCCAACCCCAGCTGTGGGGCCCAGGGACTAGTGACTTGTCCAAATCTCTCCTTCAACGAGAAGTTAGCTGAGTCATTTAGAGCAGTGGTTCTCGGACTTGAGCCTGCAGCAGAGCTGCCTGGATGGTTTGTGAAGATATATTTGCTTCGTCCCATCCTGTTCTGGGTACAGTAGTTATGAGATGGAGCCAAAGAACTTGGCGTTTCTAACAAGTTCCCAGGTGATGCTGATGCTGCTAACCTGGGAACATTGGAGAATCACTTGCTAGAGAATTCTTACATGCCAGCAGTTGAGAATTGTGTCTGTATGAAAGTCGTTTCACCAAAGATTAAACAAGGACAGCAGCCATCACCTGGTTTAAGTACATGGATGCAACACCATTTCTCCAAGTCTTCCCCTTTCCTATCCCTCATCCTTCATCAGGGACAGACATAACCTTGAATCTCAGAAGCCAAGCTTGATGTGTGTGTGACATGTCAGTGAGTCACTCAACAGGTTTTGAACAGCTAAATTCCCTAAGGCTAGAACACCCCTAGGGAAAGTGGTCAGACTCATCATCTGGATCTTAGCCTAGGGAAAGAGAAGCCCTGCAAGGAAATGGCAGGGAACTGTAATCTCAAATTACTCTGGTGCTCTTGGCCCAGCTTCCCATTTGGGGGGAAGAGGCTACTGCCGGTAGGAGGCAAGGAAACAACTGGGCTGTAAGAGCCACCACAGCGTTCAGCAAGTCCTTTATCCATAAAAATGCCTGGAGACTTCTCGTGTGTCCTAAAGACATTGGGCGCTAACTGAGCAGTAGACTGGGGATGAAAGGCAGGATGTCCAACACGTTTAGTTGATTAGAGCATCATCCCAATACACCAAGGTTGCAGTTTGATCCCTGGTCAGGGAACATACAAAAATCAACCACTGACTTGGAGTGGTGAACACACAGTACAGTGTACAGATGACATATTGTAGAATTGTGCACCTGAAACCTATATAATTTTGTTAACCAGTGTCACCCCTATAAATTCAATAGAAAAATCAAGCAAAAAATGCATAAAGTAGAACAAAAAAATCAATGTCTAAAATCATTTTAAAAATAAAACACAAAGTACTTTAAAGCAC